CACCCCTACCCACTGATTGGCCAGCTCACCTCCTGTGCCGCCACAGCCCCAGCACTGATTGGCCGGCTCACTGGACACCACACCCCTACCCGCTGATTGGCCAGCTCACCTCTGTGCCACCACACCCCCCACCCGCTGATTGGCCCGCTCACCTCTGTGCCGCCACAGCCCCACCCATTGATTGGCCGGCTCACCTCCTGTGCCACTACAGCCCCACCGCTGATTGGCCGGCTCACCTGACACCACACCCCCCACCCGCTGATTGGCCCGCTCACCTCCTGTGCCGCCACAGCCCCAGCACTGATTGGCCGGCTCACCTGTGCCACACCCCTACCCGCTGATTGGCCAGCTCACCTCCTGTGCGGCCACAGCCCCAGCACTGACTGGCCCGCTCACCTCCTGCGCCACCACACCCCCACCTACTGATTGGCCCGCTCACCTCCTGCACTGCCACAGCCCCAGCACTCATTGGCCGGCTCACCTCCTGTGCCACCAAAGCCCCATTGCTGATTGGCAGACTCACCTTGCTCACAGTCCTTAGGCTGCGCCACTCTCCCACTTCTTCTAGCCCTGTCCTCTGCCTGGGCCTTTCTCTTCGTGTCCTAGTCTTTTAGATGGTTTTTCTCATTGCCCTGCTTTGTCCGTGGGTTTTCTATGACTGTGTTGGTGCTTCTTTTACATCAGTTACTGATACTGTAGTCATCTCTTTAAATACTCACCCAGGGCCACCACCCACTACACTGTGCGTTCCTCGGGGTTGGGGACTTGAATTCTCTCTGCATCTTCTGTGCAGTGTCTGGCACGTGTGTATGGGAGATGTTGAAAGGATAGAGAAAATATTTTCAGCACTGGCAGGAATGACTCCTGTAGTCGCTTTGCTGGATGCTGTCACAGTCAGAGAGGCAGAAGGTCGCAGCTCTCAAGAAAGCTCTCGTAGAATAACTTCATCTCCTGATCCAAAATTAATCTTACTCCACAGTCCCCTGGTCTGGGAAGATTTGTAACATCTTGATTGTATCCTGTCTTTTTGTTTTCCAGGCTGTGTGGATCCCTGGGAGCCCAAAGTGCTCCGGGCGGGTATGGGCGCACATTTCCAGGTGCCCATTATCAATAATCTGGAGTGGGAAACCGTGCCCAATTACCTGCCCCCTGACACCCGGGTCTATGTGGCTGACAACTGTGGCCTTTATGCCCAGGCTCAGATGTCTAATAAAGCCAGTGACCATGGCTGG